ATGTCGCCCGATGCGATATCTCGGCAGAAGAATTGCGCGCTATGTCATCCCCCGTCTGGGGTGGCCAATATCAGAGAAGAGCTACTACTACTCATTTGATTGTAAAAACTGCATAACATATGTTTTTGTTTGTTATTGTAACTGTGGCAGATAATGTTATAGGCTACAGTTTGTTATATTATTTTACATATGTAAATGTTTGTTATTAGCCTACTTATCTGTACTCAAACCAACATTTCATGTAACAACTAACCAACTTGGATGAGATCCAAACAACGGGTACTTAGTGTAAGTATACAGAAACAGAAACAAATATACAGATGTGATATCATCAGCAGAAAACCAATAGATACGAGAAAAATCAAACTAACAATTCTAGAAGCGGTAATTCTATCAAAAGCATTTGTCATCAAATAATTGAGTCCTCAACGTTAGGATCTCCGCCTGATATAGAAGTTGCATGTAAAAGATGATCCCCCGACATGTCCACCGCGGCCATTTCCAACGACTTCAAGTTTGATTGAAATCTTATCCAAAAGCGCATACATCTCTGTACACACGGCGTACTGTTTTTCCAGCACTAGACGTTGAAACGGCAAAAAAAACAGTTGGTGAAATGTACTTACACGAAACATTTCGTTGTTTCATCAAACTGCTGCTGGATTCGACTTCTTTTCCTCGGCATTGCCAACTCTTCTTCGTCAGTTTCGCTCTCAAACTGCTAATTATGGTACCATACGTGGCAATGTAGACGCACTGTCGATAACTGGTGCAGCAGTTCAGCTCTACAAGTATCGTCTTCTACTGCCGAATGTGGACGCGTATTAGAGGGTTCTTGTGCCTACAAGTTGCTATTAGAATTACACCTTTCTCACTTTGGATAAGACATGTGACTTACACAGACTGCACTTTCTGCAGTTCTTAGTCCACAAAAGCTAGCTTCTTTGCCGAGGGCTTTAGCAATCTCAACATCGACTTCGGTCATAAGCGAAAATCCTTTGTTGATGGCTCGCTCTAAGTCTAGTCCAGCCCCTCCACTCGTGCCCGACCTTTAATCAAAACATATTCATGAATTTTTGTCTTTGTGCTAGGAAAATGTGACAACTAACCCCTTTTCCTTATGCAAAAGATCTCGATGCCTTTTTGGAGCGCCAAATTCGCTTTATTTGTTCTATTGCAAGATCCTTTTCGCATTTGATGAAAAC